TCAGCAAAACCAATATTCCCACTGTTATTACTGCTTGTTGTGTGCTCCACAATATCTGTGAGAGTAAGGGGGAGACGTTTATGGCGGGGTGGGAGGTTGAGGCAAATCGCCTGGCTGCTGGTTACGTGCAGCCAGACACCAGGGCAGTTAGAAGAGCACAGGAGGGTGCGGTATGCATCAGAGAAGCTTTGAAAACCAGTTTCATGACTGGCCAGGCTACGGTGTGAAAGTTCTCTTTTTTTCTCCTTGATGAAACTCCCCACCCCTTGGTTCACTCTACTTCCCTGTAAGCTAACCACTTTCCCCTCCTCTCTTCGATCACCGCTTGCAGAGGTAATAAAGTCATTGTTGCTTCACATTCATGCATTCTTTATTCATTCATCACACAAATAGGGGGATGACTACCAAGGTAGCCCAGGAGGGGTGGTGGAGGAGGGAAGGAAAATGCCACACAGCACTTTAAGCACAGCACTTTAAAAGTTTACAACTTTAAAATTTATTGAATGACAGCCTTCTTTTTTTTGGGCAATCCTCTGTGGTGGAGTGGCTGGTTGGCCGGTGGCCCCCCCACCGCGTTCTTGGGCGTCTGGGTGTGGAGGCTATGGAACTTGAGGAGGATGGCGATTGGTTACACAGGGTCTGTAGTGGCAGTCTGTGCTCCAGCTGCCTTTGCTGCAGCTCAACCATACACTGGAGCATACTGGTTTGGTCCTGCAGCAGCCTCAGCATTGACTTCTGCCTCCTCTCATCACGCTGCCGCCATATTTGAGCTTCAGCCCTGTCTTCAGCCAGCCACTTACTCTCTTCAGCCCGCCACTTACTCTCTTCAGCCTGCCACCTCTCCTCCCGGTCATTTTGTGCTTTCCTGCACTCTGACATTATTTGCCTCCACGCATTCGTCTGTGCTCTGTCAGTGTGGGAGGACAGCATGAGCTCAGAGAAAATTTCATCACGAGTGTGTTTTTTTTTCCTTTCTAATCTTCACTAGCCTCTGGGAAGGAGAAGATCCTGTGATCATTGAAACACATGCAGCTGGTGGGGAAAAAAAAAGGGACAGCGGTATATAAAAAGACACATTTTATAAAACAGTGGCTACACTCTTTCAGGGTAAACCTTGCTGTTAACATTACATACATAGCACATGTGCTTTCGTTACAAGGTTGCATTTTGCTTCCCCCCACCGCGTGGCTACCCCTCTCAACCCTCCCCCCCTCCCCGTGGCTAACAGCAGGGAACATTTCTGTTCAGCCGCAGGCAAACAGCTCAGCAGGAACGAGCTCCTCTGAGTGTCCCCTTAAGAAAAGCACCCTATTTCAACCAGGTGACCATGAATGATATCTCACTCTCCTGAGGATAGCACAGAGAGACAAAGAACGGATGTTGTTTGAACGCCAGCAAACATACACTGCAATGCTTTGTTGTACAATGATTCCCGAGTACGTGTTACTGGCCTGGAGTGGTAAAGTGTCCTACCATGAAGGACGCAATAAGGCTGCCCTCCCCAGAAATCTTTTGCAAAGGCTTTGGGAGTACATCCACGAGAGCCGCGAATGCCAGGGCAAATTAATCCTTTCACATGCTTGCTTTTAAACCATGTATAGTATTTTAAAAAGGTACACTCACCGGAGGTCCCTTCTCCACCTGCCGGGTCCAGGAGGCAGCCTTGGGTGGGTTCGGGGGGTACTGGCTCCAGGTCCAGGTCCAGGGTGAGAAACAGTTCCTGGCTGTCGGGAAAACCGGTTTCTCCGCTTGCTTGCTGTGAGCTATCTACAACCTCATCATCATCATCTTCTTCATCCCCAAAACCTGCTTCTGTGTTGCCTCCATCTCCATTGAAGGAGTCAAACAACACGGCTAGGGTAGTGGTGGCTGAACCCCCTAAAATGGCATGCAGCTCATCATAGAAGCGGCATGTTTGGGGCTCTGACCCAGAGCGGCCGTTCACCCCTCTGGTTTTCTGGTAGGCTTGCCTCAGCTCTTTAAGTTTCACGCGGCACTGCTTCGGATCCCTGTTATGGCCTCTGACCTTCATGCCCTGGGAGATTTTGACAAAGGTTTTGGCATTTCGAAAACTGGAACGGAGTTCTGATAGCACGGATTCCTCTCCCCATACAGCGATCAGATCCCGTACCTCCCATTCAGTCCATGCTGGAGCTCTTTTGTGATTCTGGGACTCCATCATGGTCACCTCTGCTGCTGAGCTCTGCATGGTCACCTGCAGCTTGCCACGCTGGACAAACAGGAAATGAGATTCAAAAGTTCGCGGTTCTTTTCCTGTCTACCTGGCCAGTGCATCTGAGTTGAGAGTGCTGTCCAGAGTGGTCAGAATGGAGCACTCTGGGATAGCTCCCGGAGGCCAATACCGTCGAATTGTGTCCACAGTACCCCAAATTCGACCCGGCAAGGCCGATTTAAGCGCTAATCCACTTGTCAGGGGTGGAGTACGGAAATCGATTTTAAGAACCCTTTAAGTCGAAATAAAGGGCTTCATTGTGTGGACGGGTGCAGGTTTACATCGATTTAACGCTGCTAAATTCAACCTAAAGTCATAGTGTAGACCAGGGCTCAGTCTTTTCAGGAAGGGAACAGCAAAAAGAGAGAGGGAAAACAAGTTATAAACAGCTGAGAAGTCAGCTAGTCAGTGTGGAGGAATATACTCCAGGCTTCCTGGGAATAGCCATTTAAAATCATCAAACAACTCAGTGAGGTGAACTGTTGTGGCGGAGCCATCTAATTGCTTACATTGGCACCCAATATCATGTGAACGTGACAAAACTTTTTTATGACAGTGTCACAAGATCCTTTCACTGCTAGGGGCACCTCCTCCTGGCTGCTCTGGGGATTAGCTCCTTCCAGGAACTGCACTCTCCTCTGGCAGTCTCTCCATCCTGGGTCCTCTCTCTCTCTCTGAGGCCCCCTTTTCTCCAGGAACTGCAGCTTCCTCTTCACAACGTGGCCCTCCTGCCAGCTCACTATGGTCCTCCCATTCCAGGGTATTGAAGTCTTCCAAGGCAAACTGTCCCAGGCAGTCTACTCTCTGTTTCATGTCACTTGCCCTGAGGCTGGTAGGGGAACCTGGGCCCACCCCCTACTCTGGGTTCCCTATCCCCTGTGGCTGATAGGGGAACCTGGGCCCGCCCCCTACTCTGGGTTCCCTATCCCATACCTTGATGCTTTTCCCCAGAGCCTTTCCTACCTTCCTGGCTTTCCCCCTCTCTGGGTTTACCAGCCCAAACTCCTTCCTCCCAGGGAGCAACTGTAGGCTACCTATCTCTGTCGCCCCAAACACACTTCCCTTCCCCCAGGGAGCAACTGCAGACTACTTCTCTGCAGCACCCCTGCTGCCAATTTCCTGTCTTTGTACATCCAGCCCAGCTATTCCTCCTCAGCTGGGCACCCTCACACAAGGGAACTCCTTTCTCATCATCTGCCTCCTGGCTGATGTGCATAACATACGACTTTGCATCCTTCAGTTTTCCTTATGGAAGCAAACCTCTTATAGAACAAGGCAGAGATTACACTAAGTGCAACCAGGCAAGGCATCAAGTATACTTTCAAGATAAAATATTTACATATACTTCAAAAAAGCCATTGTTATCGTAGACCCAACAAGCCTAGTATACATGGGACCAAGTTACACTCTGTCAAAACACGTTAGAGCTGGGGTCTGAAACTCACGGCCCATGGGCCATCTGCGGCCCACGAACCGCCCAATGCAGCCCGTGGGGCTCCAGCAGTTTTGGGACCAGGTCTCTTTCTTCACTCCACCTGCCTCCCCTGGGCGCTTCCCCTCCCTAGCAATTTAAAATGGCCCAGGGCCCCGGCAGCACAGCGGAGCTGAGTGGCGTCTGCCTGCCTGCTGGCCCCTCCCTGCGGCCAATGGGAAGCTGGAGGGGCGGTGCCTAGGATCAGCAGCGCATGGAGGCCCCCTGGTCCAGTCCGCCTTGGAGCCCCAGGTAAGTGCTGCCCCCGCTGACCCCCTCCCAGAGCCTGCATCCCATCCCCTCCCCACACACGCCCTCCTGCCCCCAAACTCCCTCCCAGAGCCTGCGCCCCCTTCCCACCCACACACCCCAGCCCCCAAACTCCCTCCCAGAGCCTGCACCCCAGTATCTAAGGTTCAATTCCTGTAAATGTTTTACACAAATGCTTAGTTTTATGCATGTGAGTAGTCAGGGAGAACCTGTGTGAGTAAAGGTAAGCATATATGTAAGCATTAGCAGGATTGGGAGTGTTAGACTGTAATCTCTTTGAGGCAGAGTCCTTCTCTGCTGGATTGTCTCTAAAGATTTAGCACACTGGATTACTATTATTTAATAATGTGTATAGTGCTACAGAGCTATTAGTTACATTCTCCTTCAATTAAGTCTTATTACCTTGCCCTTCCATTCCTTTATTTATTTTTTCCACAGTGATATAGGTGCTCAGGTAGCCTCAGTATTATTTCATCTTTCCTCTTTATCCTGGGAAGTAGCTCCTTGCCTGGAAATGCACTCATTTTGCTTAGCATGTGGTTAGGTGGACGGGGCCAACTTAAACAGGTCTCCTAGAATGTGAAGGTCAATCTATCATAAATTAAACTAGTTGACAGGCCTGCAAGGGAAATAGTTAATGAACTATCTGTGTTATATTAAAGTTAGTGTAACTAGCCAGGTACATTTACTATCTAGTTAAGTTTGGTATGTGTTATTATTAAGAAAAGATTCCTGCCGGTCCAAGCCTTTTGTTTTGTGAGATCCCAAAATGGCAAAAAATGGTGGGGGAGAGATCAGGTTCAGATGATTTACCTCTAACTCTTGTCCCAACATGAGAGTGGGGTTGGGAAGGGTTTCTAATGATGAATTCACAAAAAGAAAAGGAGTGCTAGTGGCACCTTAGAGACTAACCAATTTATTTGAGCATGAGCTTTCTTGAGCTACAGCTCACTTCATCGGATGCATTAACATGACTGCTACTCTGAAAATAGTGATAAATTGTTTCCTACCTTTTGGTCACACACCCAAAAATAGTCAGATCACAGTTTGCAGAGATATGCGGAGCCATACAGCCATTTGCTTTGCTGAGATTTCAGGTAGGCCCTACCTAATGGACAAAAATAAGAGATTAAATGAAATGGTGGCTAGTTATTTACATGAATAAAAACCTATTCACTCTTAGAAACCTGAGGCCTGAAGTGTTCTAAGGAGCACTCATTTTCAACATTTCCTCTGTCTTTTCTCCATAGGGCTTATGATTGCAAAGATTAACATTCTAGAGCACAGCAGCTTGCTTAGCTGGTGCCTAGAGCCGGTCCTGAGCACAGGCAGGTTAATTATGAACTAATTCAATTCTGTTGCACTCAGAGGATAGGAATATCTACACTGTAATCAGAGGTGGGACTGCAGCACATGTTGACACACCGGAACTAGCTTTGATTTAACTAACTCAAATAACAACAGCAATGAAGCAACCACAGCACGGGTGGCAACATGGGCTAGTCACTAAAATACATACCCAGGGTCCCAGGTGAGAAAGGAAAACATTGCACTCTGCATTTAGTTGGAGTGTGCTAGTTCAGAATTGGGAGTTTCATTGCTCAATTGGTAGCAACCATCTTTTCCTTTATACCTACTATAATTTTTGGTTGGTTCTATGACTCAGTCTAATCTAAACCAAGTGAAATCTTGTTCTCTCCAATAGAAGAAGATTCTCCCTCCTCTCTCAACAGAAGGTGAGATCTCCCACCCTGCTGCATGACAAGTGTGGCCTCCTCCCCGGGTTCACCCACTTCACACTTCTACTAGCTCTGCTTGGACAAGTTAGTTTTTGCTTGCCCTTGGCTTCTGATATAATGCCCTTATGCTGATTCCCAGCCAAAGGCATGGTTCAAGACCTAATAGCAGGGAAGATGGTGTCATAAATATAAAGGGAAGGGTAAACCCCTTTGAAATCCCTCCTGGCCAGGGGAAAGCTCCTCTCACCTGTAAAGGGTTAAGAAGCTAAAGGTAACCTCGCTGGCACCTGACCAAAATGACCAATGAGGAGACAAGATACTTTCAAAAGCTGGGAGGAGGGAGAGAAACAAAGGGTCTGTGTCTGTCTGTTGCTGGGTCTTTGCCAGGGACAGAACAGGAATGGAGTCTTAGAACTTTTAGTAAGTAATCTAGCTAGGTATGTGTTAGATTATGATTTCTTTAAATGGCTGAGAAAAGAATTGTGCTGAATAGAATAACTATTTCTGTCTGTGCATCTTTTTTGTAACTTAAGGTTTTGCCTAGAGGGGTTCTCTATGTTTTTGAATCTAATTACCCTGTAAGATATCTACCATCCTGATTTTACAGGGGGGATTTCTTTATTTCTATTTACTTCTATTTTTTATTAAAAGTCTTCTTGTAAAAACTGAATGCTTTTTCATTGTTCTCAGATCCAAGGGTTTGGGTCTGTGGTCACCTATGCAAATTGGTGAGGCTTTTTATCCAATATTTCCCAGGAAAGGGGGGGTGCAAGTGTTGGGAGGATTGTTCATTGTTCTTAAGATCCAAGGGTCTGGGTCTGTAGTCACCTAGGCAAATTGGTGAGGCTTTTTACCAAACCTTGTCCAGGAAGTGGGGTGCAAGGGTTTTGGGAAGTATTTTGGGGGGAAAGACGCGTCCAAACAGCTCTTCCCCAGTAACCAGTATTAGTTTGGTGGTGGTAGCGGCCATTCCAAGGATAACGGGTGTAATATTTTGTACCTTGGGGAAGTTTTGACCTAAGCTGGTAAAGATAAGCTTAGGAGGTTTTTCATGCAGGTCCCCACATCTGTACCCTAGAGTTCAGAGTGGGGGAGGAACCTTGACAGATGGACTAACGGATGGGCAAGGGTTTCCAGCAGCAGGGAGGAAGGGCAGTTTGGGATTCTATAGTGCACAAGGTCCAAAGTTGTGCACTTCCTTTAGCCTTAGCATTTTCCATTTAGTCCATAGAATTTAGCCAAGATTAATTTACTCAGAGTTAATATAGCATTAAGGTAAAGAAGTTAAGTGTTCAGCAGTCTGGAAACTCCAGAAAAAAACATAATGTTAGGCCTCATGCAAAGGTCAATTCATTGTAATAGTTACTTCTAACAATTTACCTTTTGTCAACTCTGCATAGGTAGAAATATTTTCCCTTGGTCTTCAAGGAATAACAGAGTGTGCAGTCTAAATGTGTATTACTCTCAAACTGGAATCTGATTTATATTAGCTTATAACACTCTATTCCACCTTGCATTTTGCTGTGATGCTGGGAGTTCCTTTCCCAGACCTGAAGAAGAGCTCTGTGGGTATGTCTACACAGCAATGTAAGCCTATGGTTAGTGGAACTCAAGTCAGCTGACCTCTGTCAGGGAACCCTTGAGAATCTACACTGCATTCTAACCATAGCTTGAGGATTTTCTGACCTGGGCTTGAACCTTGGGCTCTGGTATCCACACTGCAATGCGTAGACGCAAGTCAAAGTAACCCTATCCTGGGGAATGCCTAAAGCTACTGCCCTCTAGTGTCGACACTCTAGCCCTATGAATGTATTGCACGTAGGAAAACTCTCCTGCCCACCCTGTTTCCTGATTGTCATGATGCTATTGATAGGACTTGGGTGCCCATACTGAGCAGTGAGTAAATAAGCAGCATAATTATCTCCTTTGGTGGCTTTCTCAGTAGAATGACTGTAGTTAGAGAAGGCTATGTATGAACTGTCATCTAATCTGAGAACTAGGCTCTCCACCTCTAGGCTGAGTCACACTGGCAAAAAAATGCATACAAATGCATATATTTGAAAATGTAGAAAACATCAAAAATATTTAAATAAATGGTATTCTATTATTTAAACAATAAATAACATGTTCTATTATTTAAACAATAATAGAATAGCATTTACAGTAACTCCTCACTTAACATCATCCTGGTTAATGTTGTTTCGTTGTTATGTTGCTGATCTGTTACAGAACATGCTTGTTTAAAGTTGCGCAATGCTCCCTTATAACGTTGTTTGGCAGCCGCCTGCTTTGTCCACTGCTTGCAGGAAGAGCAGCCCGTTGCAGCTAGCTGGTGGGGGCTTGGAACCAGGGTGGACCGGCAGCCCCCTTTCAGTTCTCCTAAGTTCCCTGTGCACCCGCCCAGCAGGCTATCACTTGCCTGGCAGTTCAGCTGTCCCTCCCCCCACTGCTGTGTGCTACTCCTGCCCTCTGCCTTGGAGCTGCTCCCGGGAGCCTCCTGCTTGCTGTGCAGAGGGTGGGGGAAGAGGGGTGTTAATGTCAGGGTGTCCCCCTCCCCTGCTCTTGTACCCCATCTCCACAGAGCGGGGGGGGGGGGCAGGGAATGACACAACAGGGCTCAGAACGGAGGGAACTTGCTGGCAGCAGCTGCTACCCAAGATCCATAAACCTGGAAATCCTGGACACCCCATCATCTCAGGCATTGGCACCCTGACAGCAGGATTGTCTGGCTACGTAGACTCCCTCCTCAGGCCCTATGCTACCAGCACTCCCAGCTATCTTCGAGACAGCACTGACTTCCTGAGGAAACTACAATCCATCGGTGATCTTCCTGAAAACACCATCCTGGCCACTATGGATGTAGAAGCCCTCTACACCAACGTTCCACACAAAGATGGACTACAAGCCATCAGGAACAGTATCCCCGATAATGTCACGGCAAACCTGGTGGCTGAACTTTGTGACTTTGTCCTCACCCATAACTATTTCACATTTGGGGACAATATATACCTTCAAATCAGCAGCACTGCTATGGGTACCCGCATGGCCCCACAGTATGCCAACATTTTTATGGCTGACTTAGAACAACGGTTCCTCAGCTCTCGTCCCCTAATGCCCCTACTCTACTTGTGCTACATTGATGACATCTTCATCATCTGGACCCATGGAAAAGAAGCCCTTGAGGAATTCCACCATGATTTCAACAATTTCCTTCCCACAATCAACCTCAGCCTGGACCAGTCCACACAAGAGATCCACTTCCTGGACACTACGGTGCTAATAAGCGATGGTCACATAAACACCCTATACCGGAAACCTACTGACCGCTATGCAGTTCATGCCTCCAGCTTTCATCCAGACCACACCACACGATCCATTGTCTACAGCCAAGCGCTACGATACAACCTCATTTGCTCCAACCCTTCAGAGACAAATACCTACAAGATCTCTATCAAGCATTCTTACAACTACAATACCCACCTGCCGAAGTGAAGAAACAGATTGATAGAGCCAGAAGAGTACCCAGAAGTTACCTACTACAGGACAGGCCCAACAAAGAAAATAACAGAACGCCACTAGCCAGCACCTTCGGCCCCCAACTAAAACCTCTCCAACGCATCATCAAGGATCTACAACCTATCCTGAAGGACGACCCATCACTCTCACAGATCTTGGGAGACAGGCCAGTCCTTGCTTACAGACAGACCCCCAACCTGAAGCAAATACTCACCAGCAACCACACAACAGAACCACTAACCCAGGAACCTATCCTTGCAACAAAGCCCGTTGCCAACTGTGCCCACATATCTATTCAGGGGACACCATCATAGGGCCTAATCACATCAGCCACACTATCAGAGGCTCGTTCACCTGCACATTTACCAATGTGATATATGCCATCATGTGCTAGCAATGCCCCTCTGCCATGTACATTGGCCAAACCGGACAGTCTCTATGTAAAAGACTAAATGGACACAAATCAGACGTCAAGAATTATAAAATTCAAAAACCAGTCGGAGAACACTTCAATCTTTTTGGTCACTCGATTACAGACCTAAAAGTGGCAATTTTTCAACAAAAAAGCTTCAAAAACGGACTCCAACGAGAGGCTGCTGAATTGGAATTAATTTGCAAACTGGACACTGTTAACTTAGGCTTGAAGAAAGACTGGGAGTGGATGGGTCATTACACAAAGTAAAACTATTTCCCCATGTTTATTTTCCCTCTCTACTGTTCCTCACACGTTCTTGTCAACTGCTGGAAATGGCCCACCTTGATTATCATTACAAAAGGTTTTTTTTCTCTCCTGCTGATAATAGCTCACCTTACCCGATCACTCTCGTTACAGTGTGTATGGTAACTCCCATTG